AGAGAGATGTTAGAAGTGAGAGAAAAAAATAGATATTAAGAAATGGAAATTTAGATAGATAGAGAAATTCTTAGAGAGAGATGTTGGAGAGAAAAAAAAAGGTAAGTTATGCTAAATGATATGAAATAAATATGTATTTATAAAAATATTATTCCTTTTCATTGTTTTTTATTTTAATTTCACAAAAATGAGTTTTAGTTGGTTTTTTTTAGTATAATACCTGTGGGGTGGGAGATCGAACTCACAATCTTTTCATTGGAGATATATGTCAATTGTCGTTGAACTATATTTTATTTGATTTGATTGCATAAGTTTGTAATTTATGCTATTTTATTTTAACCCTAATATTCTATATTTCAAGGTAAAGTTATCAACTAGAAAGTTATCAAATAATTCCATTTTTTAAAACGAAAAACAGGAGAAAAAATGACATTGTTATCCATTGATCTAAAATCTTAGGGACAAGACAAAATAGGTATGGATATTTATGAAGAATAGGATTTAAGCCTTAAGAAAATGAAGGGAAAAAAATGTTGACTCCACACCATGAATTCTACGTGCTAATTTTGAGAATAATTTTATTTTGTTAAAATAATACTAATATAATTTGCTTATTAAAATATATTAAAAATAAATTAATAGTGCCTCTTCTATATTTGATTAGATTTAAAATTAAAATATAATTGATAGAAAAAAAATGTTACACCATGATTTTTTTTTTCAGCAGAAAAAGGATTACGGGATTGAATATTTGATCTCTAAGAAAAAACAAGATTTCTTAACCACTAATAAAACTTATGTTGACCATCATGAACTTCTAAGTATTTTATTGTGAAATTAATTTTATTAGGTTAACAATGCTAATATAATTCAGTTATTAAATATATAGAAAATAAATTAATAGAGCCTCTAGTATATTGGATTAGGATTTTTTTCATTTTTATAACCGGCTCGTTGAATCGTGTTGGGGGAATTAAAAAAAAGAGAGATAATTGGAGTAAATATTAAGAAACAAACACGTAATCGACCAATTGGGTTGAGGCGCGGAGATTCAAGTTCTCTACGGTGTATATTTCTTTATCAACGACGGTATAGCAAGTATATGTCCTCTGGTCTGTCCCCTCTAGGATACAACAACCCAAGTGGATTTTTTTTAAATAATGCTGCATTAAATAAAATTAAAGAAAAAAAGCTTCATTTGAAATTTATTCTAAAAGTAATGCAGGTGAAAATATTCCGCCACTTGGAGACGACTATGTTATTTTCAACCGTTGGTCGTCTCTTAATAAAGACGTGGTACTCTATTGGCATCACGTGTGATTTTTTTTTTTTAAATCAAGACATGGTTGTCTCTTGAAGAGATGACCATCTGTGATGGTCGCTTTTTCAAGAGACGACCGGACCACAACAACGTTGATTTTTTAAGAAAAAATAAATACTGTTATATATTATATATTAAACAGTAGAGTTTTGTGTTGGATATCAGATGATATTGACCCAGCTTTCTTCATTCTCTTTGCATGTTCGGCTTAGAAAGGTAATTTTTTTTTCTTTTTACTATTACTCAACTTTTTACTTATTATTATTATTATAGATAATAATAAATCGATTAACATTAAAAAAAAAAGTAGTAAAAAATTGAAAAATATGTTACTCAAGGCTCAAATTTGGGATGTTTTGTACAAAAGATGAGTACAAACCCATTCCGCCAGAACTAGGTTTAAGTTTAACAGTTATTTAATATATAATATATAATGATATCTTATTTTTTTCCTAAAAATCAACGTCGCGGTAGCGAAACGACCACAAATGTGTGCCAACACATGGTCAAGAGACGACCATGTCTTGATTTAAAAGGAAATTTCAGCAGTGCCACGTCATTATGGTCGTCTCTAAGTGGCGAAATAATTTCAAAAACATTATTTTTGGAATAAGTTTCAAAACAAGCATTTTTTCTTTAATTTTATTTAATGCAGCATTATTTTAATTACAAGTTTAAATAAAAACATTATTTAAAAAAAATTGAAATATCGTTGTGTAGCTCAAGCCTAGCTCAACAATAAAATACATCTTTTGACCAATTGTCGAAAAAAGTAGAGAATAGAGAAGGTTGAGAAAAGAACGAGAATTGTCCGTTGTATGTTGAAAATGAAATTAGAGAGATATTTATAGGATTTTTACAACTAATAACTTAACATAGAAATTAATAAGAATTTTTAAACCTCTCTTTTTCAATTTAAATAAAAGAAACTCATATTTTGATTATTAATAAATATAAAATGTAACAACAAATTGTCAATCTAGATGACGTTAGGATAAAATATTTTCCAATGCTGCATATCCAAATATTTTGTAGATAAAATTCCCACTAATGAACACGAACTACAAAATTATTAAAATATATAATTTTGTAATTAATCTCTCATCTAATTTAATGGTTTAAAACCATCAAATCACATTATTTCAAGAACATCTCTTCCAGATCCCTTCTTTTAATATTTAGAACCTTCAAAATAATTAAAAAAAATATTTTTTTAGATATTAAAATATTCTTTTTATATTAAATAGAAGAATCATACAACATGTGGCTTCGTGCCTCTCATTCACGTTTAAAATAACTATAAAATATTAAAATATTCCTGCTATAGTAAATAAAGACTAAATTATCCAAAATGCCCATCATTCATGAACTTTGGGATTAATTTCAACGGATATTTTTTCTTTATTAAATTTATTCCACAAATATATTATCTATTGAACTATTTCTAAGAATAATACTTGGAAAATAGTTAATCTTCGACCTAGATCATTTCTTCACGAGACGATTTATAAGCGTAGCATTCAATTGACATCACGTCTCTTCAAGAGATGACCAACTAGACGTGTTTTCTATACTCACCTCTTCAACAGACGAAAACATTGTTTTTGAAAAATAATAATAATCATTGTTATATTTTATAATATGATATATGTCAATTACCACTGAACATATTCGTTTAGGTGATATTATTATAACTATTATTATGATTAAAATAATTATCATATTTTTAGTTTATTATTATTATTATTATTATTTTCTTTGATAATAGGTATTCATTATTTGTTTTTAGTTTATTGTTATTATTACTGCTACTATTATTTTTATTTTAATAAATTTTTATTTATAATTATATGTTTTTAGTTTATTATTATTATTATTCTTTAGAAAATTTAAAATATGATTATCTTACAATTATTATTATTCTTCGTTTAAAAATAAAATAATAACAATAATATATATATATAGTTATTATAATTTTCAATTATATATAATAAATTATATTTTTAAAAGAATAAAAAGTTAGAGTTAATAATAAAAATAAGGAGTAGGAGTAGGAAGTTGATTATTTTTCTTGCAAAAAAGAAAAAAAAAGGAAAGAAAGTTAATTATTTCTAAAATAAAAAAAAGGTAGAAAGTAAAATCAAGTTCCGCGGGGATTTTTTTTTAATAATGCTATTTTCTATAGTAATTACGAAAATATGCCACTTCCCAAACTATTTCCAAAAATAACGTTTTGGAAATAGCACGAGAGACGACCTGTGAAGTGGCAAAAGACGACCATGTTAATTTTTTTTTTTTAAATAAGGCTTGGTTGTCTCTTGAAGAGACGACATGTTTAGCGGGATTTTAAAAAAATCCCGCTTGACAAAGAGACGACAATATTATTCTAAACAAAAACAAAACAAATATTATATATATATAACACAACACTTCAAACTAAAATGAATATTGTGGTGTAGTGGATAACGGACCGCTCGAGGAGTCAAATGGTATGGGTTTGAGAGTATATGTGCGTGTGTGTGTGTGATAATAATAATAATATTATCAAAACAAAAAAAAACACACATATTAGTGCTCAAACCCATGCCCTTCTCCTCTCCGGGAAGTTCCTTATCCCTTACGCCATAATATTCATTTACGTTAGCTGGTCGTCAACAGTGTTTGTCACTTCATAGGTCGTCTCTTGAAAAATACGACTTGCTATTTCCAAAACATTATTTTTGGAAATATTTTGTGGAGTGGCATATTTTCGTAATTACTTTCGAAAATAACATTATTAAAAAAAAATCCCGATGATAGGTCTCGAAAAAAGGCCGCAAAAGGGAAATTTGTGATTGGACCACTACATTAACATACTCTAATATCAAAATGGAGCTATTTTATATTATATAAAAGTATTCATTTCTTTTTCTTCTTCTTTCCATGAAGCAGCATTGTTGTCTCTCAAAAAAACTACCATATTTTTCAAGTATTATTTCCATAAATAATTTGGTAGATGATATATTTTTTTAATAAACTTAATAAAAAGCATCATTAAAAAGAATATCCTAATTTCAACCCTATCTCTATGGTTTAAAAGTCTTACTTCTAACCTTAATTTTGAAATTTGATTCAAAGTATGTGAGGATTGAAATTTGTTCATTTTTAAAAATTGTGAACAAGTTTATCCTTAAACCATGTGATGGACAACTCAATTATTGGCTGTTGCTATTAAGTTTTAAATGGATTTGTGGCCGATGTGATTTTTAAAACATCAATAGCAAACTAACCACTAGAAAATCTGTAATATGGAGGTGAATTAAAAAATATACGTGGTTTCTGAGTATGATTGTTCAGTAATTATCAATACTTGTCACATTTGTCCTTCAATTATTTTTTTAACACCACTTCTTCGGCCAGTTCTTCATTAATAGCTTCGGAACCACATCGATTTTCATCCTTTTGTTTTAACTTAAAATTATTTAATAGCATCAATGGTAAAAGGAGACGAACATTTTTAAACGATTTCGATATAATTAAAACTAACTTCAATGTTCATGGACATTTTGAATAATTCAACCATAAATAAAAAGAATATATGCAGGCCGACTATGAGTCTCTTCTTTGCTTAAATATAATCCTTATTTATTTTTGCAATAAATCAAATAAAAAGAAACTCGTCGGAAGTGGAGCATCTGATATATAAATGTTTATTTCCTCCAAATTGATGTCTATTACATTAGAGTTGTTCATATTTTAATTCCGACACCCTCCATAGATCAAATGGAAACACTACACGGAACTCCTTTTCCAGTGACTCCAGGTCCTGAAAATGGCTTCAAAAGTTCATAGGGAGTAATACCAGCTCCAGTTCTATTCTTCAAGTTGCAATCAGCATTCCTATAATCAATTATCACCTCCAATTCCTTCATCTTCATACTGAACCTATCAAATGCTGCCTTTATTACAGGATCATCGCCCCACGATGGTTCCATAGTCTTTCCAATATACTCTTCATCTGGAGAGTGACTCGACAGCACATCCAGCACCAACATTACCGTTGTCGCTTGATTTGGCGACGGAAAGGCGTCTAGAAGCACATCTTCTGGCTTTTCTAAGAAACTTCTCCAAAGTGCAGGGTTGAAATCTTCTGTGGGCATGTTGGTTCTTGCTATGCTGGGCCTGTTTGGGAAATAGCCTGCATATGCATATTGCCCGAAGTTCACGGCGGCGTGGTGAGCAGACGCTACCCACGCAATGTTTGTTATAATGTCTATTAGATCTTGGGGAGTGTTGAGAGCTGGCCACCCCGGCGCATATTTTTTGTCTGCATGCCCCACAGTTCTAATCTCAGTCCACCATGCTTGGAGCTCTGTGTCAGATGTTATCAGGTATGGGTCTGGATAGTAATGATTCACATATTCCGTGACCCATTCTTTAAGAGCATCCCACAAAATCAAACCATCATTAGCGAATGGATAGTCTTTGATGTTCAGTTTCAGACCATGTGAAGCAAATGGATCCTCCTCTGCCAATCCCCTGTCAAGTATTCACATTAAAACTTAAAGGGGTTAAGGCTGCTTATATATCAATCAATTCAAAAGAAAAAAAAATTGGTGAATTCAAGTCACCTGTGAATTAGGTCAGCTGGCAGGGCTTGTAAGTCAAATTGCCACTGAAGATGATAAGCTGTGGAACTCAACTCCATGGAATATTTTTTAGTTGAAAACGTGGTCTCTATTATCCCATCTGCATTAATAAGGTTGCTACGAGCATCTGCATTGATCTCCATAGTGTACCTAAAATGAGGATGTAGAAGCCTATAGATAGGATGCATTGCACTCAATTGTCTGTTTGTGGCTATGCAGTAAGGCTCCACGGAGCAGTGAGTTCTTAACCTACAAAACAAAACAAAGGGGTTGAGTAAAAATATAATCTCTTTTTTTTCTCTCTACGAAAAATCTTTAAAGCCAAAGTCATTGAGTGGGATATATTTACCAATGAGTGATGAGTTGGTGATAACCAGCGTCATTGACCAGAGCATGGGCTTTGGCAAATCTCCAAACCCAAAGGTGAGTGGCCTGCTCGCTGGGTCCATAGACTCTCTTCCATTGCGGTTTGTCGTCCATGGGTGGTCGAGTTAGCTCGATAGCTAGTGGTCTGAGGGTTTCATCTTCGTTTAGAAAAAATAGTGTCCTTGATCCATAAAGCGTGGTTCCTTTTAGGGCTCTCACTTTTTGAACATATGGCAACAACATGTCATGGTAATCCACTATAAACAATTTTTTCTTTTGAATTGCCTGCATATTATCCCATTTATGCATTTAAAATGATATATTATTTCATATGCCATATATATTATGTTGCGACTTAGAATTAATATTTAGTACCGATATATACCTCTTGAACTGTCATTGAGCCAATTTGCTGATCGAGCATTTGGGTGTTGAATGCAGATTCAGGAGGGCCATAAATTTCGGGGTCAAGTTTGCTCATCAGTGGCCATTCCTACAATAATTTAGTTTTAAATATGAATTCATATTTAATTTGTGGTATAAAAGAAGATGTGTTACATGTCATGTCATACCGTGACCAATTGTATGCTGTATGGGTTAAGACCCGCAAGAGTTTCTGATATGAACCAAAGTGTCTTAGTCTTCAAAGAGTTAAAAGGAAGTTGTTGGAGAATCCTATGTCCAAGTTGACAACAAATTGGAGTTGCATTAAATGCACTCTAGTGTCATTTATGGCAACCTCAAGTGGCATTGAATGAAGTCAAGAACAAGTCCAACTTCATTTACTACAAACTCAAGTTGCATTAATGGAAGTCTAAGTTGAACTCAAGATGCATTAAATGAACAAGACTTCAAAGTACTTGAAAGTAGTTCAAACTCCAGTTCATTCACTCTTGAAGGGTTACAAACTCTTGGTTTTATGGTGGAGGAGTTTCATTCTCGGATTTAAAGCATGTTTAATTGTATTTTCAGTTTTAAACATTTCATTTATGTGTTTTAAGTTTTATTTGTGTTAGTGGTGGTTATGGTATTGATGTAGTAGGGAGTTACAATCTTTACAATTCTTTTAGATTACTTGAAGGGTTGTTTTGGAGGCTATAAATAGCCTAGCTTATTCCCTTGGAAAAACAGATTTGAGATTTGAGTTTTGAGATAATGAAATTTAAGCTTATTGAGCCATGAGCTTTTCCTTTGCATTTCTTGTGTTTTAGAATTGCATGCTAGAATCATTCAAGTAGCCTTGATCAAGCTATCTTGTGGAGTGGTTCGAATCTTGAGTTTAGAAACAAGTTTTCTCTACTCTTGATATTGATCATCAAGGTAAATCCGTTCTAACTTCTTCCTTGGGTTGACATCATCTTGATTTGGGGGTTTTAGCACTTGTGATCTAGGGGTTTGCATAACCATAAGGGTTCTTAGATCCAATTGGCTATTGTTTTCTTATCAGTTTCTCTTGCAAATTCTTCATCACTTAACCAGAAGAACTTGTCTCCTGTTTATTCAATTAACGTAATTAAGAATAATTACAGTGAGATGAGAGAGTTAATGAGTAAATCATAAGGGGAAAAAGAGATGTGCTTACGGTCCATGGGTTCAGGACGCTGAAAGTGTAAGAAAAATTCTTCAGTTTCAGAGACGAGCTTGAATCTCCAAGGTAAAAGATCGTTAAGAGAGGTGGGGGATTCCAGATTGCGTAGATTGAAGCCATCCCTACTGAAAAGTGCATCAATCTCCTCAAAGTTGGAGAATGTGGCCTTCTTATCAAAAAATATTTCCAATTTTGGAAAAGCGGCGCGCAACAAATCTATGGTGAATACAGCTTGCTTTACATTAGAGAATGTCTGGTCCCGAGGGACGTACATGCTCCCTACTGGCTTTTCTTCCGTGTCTGGGTCTACAATATTGCATCAAAAATATCACACAACTTACCTCTACCTTTTGAAAATCAATAAATTATTTCTAATAATCTTAAAGTTGTTTGTTTTGTTTGAAACTAATATTTTTTATAATGTATGTAATTAAACGTTTGAACCTTATCTCACAACTTACCCTGACCCACCTTTTTTACAATGTGGACGGCCAGTTCTGCAACGTCTAGGATAAGGGCGCTCAAGGCCGCCAAGAACTGGCCTTCTGAGTTCTTCTAGTGTGCAATCACCAAGGTCGTTGTACACATCGTAATCGTATATGTTATCGGTCGATTTACGCTCACCGGTGCCATTGCCTCGTAGATTCACGAGCTCGGCCGCTCTCATGGACTTGAGCCCAGCAGGCGTCTGGAACGGCAAGTATGACTGTGCAAGCAACAAATTCAAATTAGGATTGAATTGTTAGTTTGTATTTGGCATGGTAAAAGGTAAAAAGAAAGAGAGAAGTGATCACCTTGCTGGTGAAGAAGACTCTCTGTACTTTAGGAAGCACGGTGGGAGGTTGAACCCAGGAGTTGCAGGTGATGGTGGAGGGACCAGAAGCCAGCCCAGTGAGGTCCACTTCTTTGATGTACATCTCCTTTTCATTGGGGTTTTCAACAATCACGGCCCCTATCTCCCCAAAATCTGATGCAACTTGGAAACTTGCCTCGTAAATTTCTTCCACCAAATCCTCACTCGTCAATTTTGCCTCAACTCTGATCGTCGCCTTCTCCGACCCGGTTCCTTCAATTTGTTCCCCAAACAGGTACACAGCCTCGGTCAAAACAGATGCACATCCCTATTCTACTGAGGACAAGTTTGGAAGTAATTTTGACATAACTAGAATTTTTTTTTTCCACTCATGCAAAATCACTTCGATTCTTAATCACTAGAATGATTCTTTATCGGATTTTTTACCAAACCATTAATAGAATATTAGTTTTTAAAATGGTTATTGGTTTGATTTTCAAAATTTTATTCCATTCATCTTATTTTCACTTTAAATTTTGTTTCATTCTCCAACTTTTTTTATCTTTAATTTTTTATTCTTTCTAATTTCTTCTCTAATTTTTTTAAGAATCTCTAACTTTTCTCCCTCCAAAATAAATTCTCTCTTTAAATTTTAAATATTAATTATTCAAAATCATTTTTAATTATATAAAAATCGCACGTTAAAATAATTATATAAAATCACTTTCACAAAATCATCATCTCAGAAACATCGCAAAATCCTAGTCCCTTTATTTAAATTAACTCAAACTCTTAATTATTTGATTTTGGGTCATGGATATTGATATTAAAAAGCTTTTCTTTCTTCGTTTTGCAAACATTCAAAAAATAATTCTTTTGAACTATTTTTTTATACAATAGTTATTTTATTAAAAAAAACCTCAAAAAATACATTAATATAGTGGTTTTTTTTAATTATCTGTTATCTTATACCGTTGTATATCAGCCACAAACAGCAAGCTTATCTGGAGCTACTGACTACTGTCCCATGAAATTTGTTGGTATGTATTTTACTTTTTCATTTACTTTTTCTATTTTAAAAGTTATTTCAACATACTATTCTTACACCAACTATATTCTATGTAATAAAATTATTTTTAATTTTTAAAAAATATAGAATGTTTTAAGTATCAGAAATTCCAAACATTTTTGTATTAATTACAGTCTCTTTTTCTTATTTTCTAGATTTCTACATAAAAAGTATTATTATGTTATTACAATTCAAGACAAATTTAGTTTTTGTAGATTTTTTACTCCAAATGATATGTTATTTTACATTTCATCTAGACAATTAAATGCCATGAATCCTTCATAATTGTAAGATTTAAAATATTGTTGATATCTAGGTTTAATATCCATTTCAGTCCTTAAAATATTAATATTGATTACTTCAATAGATCTTTCTCTTTCAAGATTTTTTTTATATGTGAGTGTCCGAACCAACTTATGCACACCTCGATTTTGAACTCATTCCCTCTTAATTAACCTAGTCCCTTTGGACCAATGAGCCATCCAGGATGGTTTTAACCAAATCAATCAAGATATTAAACCTAGATATCAACAATATAGAAATTCCGAATTGGAGTTTTAACTAAATCAATCCAGAATCAAGATATTGAAATTTTTATTCAAAAAATTAATCTAAGAGATCTTATTAAAAAAAATCTAAAAAAATTTGTTGCTCGATTTTGATTCATGGATATGAAAGAAATTTGAATTTTTCATAATAACAAAATTAAAAGAACAAGTAACAAAAGGAAAAAGAAAAAGAAAGAAGAGGGAAACAAGCAATAGCAAGAAAAGAAAAGAAAGCACCAAATAAGAGGAGGAGGGTTTTTGAAGAGAGGGAAAAAGTTATTAGAAAACCCACGTCTTTGAGTAGGATAAAAATTCTCACTTGTCGTCTTAATGTCTCTGTTTACAGGAAAATAAGTTTGGTTTTCCTAAGAAGCATCTGAGTTAGCTAGAATGAAGAAGGTGTGGCGCCTGAAGGAGTGAGCACATAGGAGTAGGGAAGAGAAATGAGAGAGGAAGATATTGTTCCTAATTTTTTAAAAATATAATAATAATAGGAGCCGTCTGTCTGACCATTTGTCAAAAAATCTGATACTGCGATTTAGTTCATATTTTTCAATTTAAAAAATATATTAGAGAGAGACTGTAATGTAGTACTGTAGTAGATAAATCAAGGTTTTTTGTTTTTTTTTTTCAAAGTCCTCTGGTTACCCAACCTGCGTAGGTCAGTAGAAGACGGGAGATAAGATAAGGAGCAAGAAGAAGTCACGTGTCAGATAACGATATAATTTTGGTACGTATTATCTCTATCAGTGCTCTAATACTCTCGAATCATTTCACTACATTTTGTACTAAAAAATGTGGACTGTAATTCCGTTTAGTTTAGAGTAAGTTTTTTTTTTTTTTTGAATAAATAATGGATAGAAGAAGCTTACTAGGGTCGAGCAGGTTGCTGGCGAACTGGAGTTTGAGAAACTTTTCGACGTCGTCTTTGACATCCCTTAGAAATTGCGAGGAAGTGGATAATCCAGTGATCTTTTTGACAACCACTTTGGTCTGAACGCTGGTGGTGGGTTTGGCGGAAGTGGATAAGCCTGCTTTAATTTCACGGCGGCAAACCAAGCTGAGCCGCCCGTTGCTACTCTTCTGCTTCTGGCAGCTGGGATTCCAATAAGGAGGCAAAAAAGCAGCTTCGGCGTGGATGCTACAAAGCGATGGYCTCTGCATATGGCGGAGGGACGCCGGAGCCGCCGCTCGAGTGCAACCCCCAAAGCCTTGACCTTTCAACATTTTATTTTCTAAAATTAATAATTTCGAATGACATTGGGTCTGAGTTTTGGTTCTCCGTCAGAGGTATCTATTTATATCCAAGTTTGACTTCGAAATTACGGTAAAGCCCCCAAATAACTGCTACTTTTACAATTTTGCCTTTTACTGCATAATCGAAAATAGAGAATTTAAACGGTAAAAAATAGGTATCAATTAGGGTTGAGTTAAGTTCATGTCAACATTTTACCTTCTCCTTACTCCTTTCTCATTTTTAATTCAACATATTTAAATATGTGGATTAAATGCCATGAAATTAGTTTTTTGGTATAATAAAACTTAAAATTGTTCCAGGAAACATAGTGTCTATCTAATGTGTTCCATAAAACATATGTCATCGGTCACGACATGATTGTTGACGACGAGCTCTTGGCGCCTTCTAGCTCCTCACTAGGGGGAAAGTACTCTCCATGTTTTCTATGTCCACATCTATATGAACATGTCTTCAGTGCAACATTGAGGGACTAACCTCATAATCATATTGTGGTGGGTGAAACTGGTGTGTGTGAGACTATCCTGAACTAGGGGTTACTAACATTGTGTCATCGGCGTGGGACCAACATATTATCCCATGTTTGAGGAAAAAGTGGCACGTTTTCAACATTGTGATATTGGGTTCAGAAATGGATGTTACGCTGGATTGGAACTTCTTGTTCAACTTAACAACACCCTCTACGACAGGACCATTAAGAACGTTAATTTGACTGCATGCCTAATCATTTTGAATTGGAATAGGAATTAACCTAGTTAATCTTAAATGTGTTTGATGGGTGCATCTATTATACTATCTATGATTGATTTGTCGGCACATCATCGAGTGCTAATCCATCAATTTTTGTTAGATATCTAATATATAAATTAAATTTACCTAATTTATGAACTCAAATTTTTTGGTTGAGTGGTAGTTTATTCATACTTAACAATTTTTACAAATGTTGCGTGATTATAAAAGTGAAACCTTTCACATATACATGAATTATTATATTCAACTTCATCTACACCGTCCATCGTACAACCAATTGTATGCAAAGCAATGGTAAAAAATTTATCTGCCATTTTCTATCAAAAATATGTAAAAGCATAAATTATAATAAAAAATAAACTAATTAATAATTATTTAATTTAAGTTTAATAAATTAATATATAAAATAAATCTAATTAACAAATTAAATAAACTAAATTTATTAACTAATTAAAACAAACCAAATCTAATTAATTAGGTAATAAAATCTAAACCAAATCTAAATAGACTATCTTCATAAACTAATTAAACCTAAATTAACTACAATTAGTACTTAAGCTATAATTATTTAAACATTGTTTAATTAAATTAAATTTTCAACTAAATCTAGTTAACTAATTAACTAAACCGACTTTAACTAATAAATCAATGAATTATTTACCTAATTAAATCTACACTAATCTAACTAACTAAAAAAAATATTGAACCATTCTATATAATACTATAAACATAAAATCTTTAAGTGCAAATCCTACAACAATTGAAAAAACAAAATGCAAACCATATATCAGTTTCTGATCTAAGTTTCTTAATAAAGATGAATTATAACGGTCCAAGTAGATATTGTCCACTTTAGCAGATATAGTCTTCGGTGACCTCATACCAATGGAGATAATTGTCTCATCTATATACTATTGTATCATGCCCTTACCTAACTAATACGCGGACTTTGTTTGCACTCACATTACAAACCAACAGTAGAAAGATGCAATGCTTTCCAAATACTTTTTCTTTAGTATAAATATGTGAGAGTGAGAAGTTGAATTTGACTATAACTTTTCAACTCATTATTAATTGGACAGCATGAAATTCTTCCTACCTACCTCTAAAATTTTGACTATATCAAAAAGAGGAACTCAGGGAAAAATAGATTGAAAACACTCCTCCTATAATAAACCTAAATTTGAAAATCTTCATGCCGTTAATTACGGAATTTAAATAC